AAGCCTATCGATCTGGAGATAAAAGTATCGCTAGTGAAAGATCTGGGGGAGGAATTGTGAATCGAGTGAATGGAAAATGGAACTGCAACATCTCTGCTTTGATTTTCTGGAGGAATCGAGACTGGTGGAAATTTTTTGGCGGAATTATTCGCTTCGGGCGACGGACGCTTCTAAAATAGGTTTCCGGCCTTGTCTTTCTTTTAGCAGTTGAACACCAACATAGCGCTAACTCGCCGAAAACGCTTCAAAATGGCCTGAGACGTTCGGAATCAACAAAGAAAACAACAAGGCAATAAAGTGAGCCCATTTTATTTCAAAACAAGACATTTTTTTCTCTCTTTTAAGGCAAACCGATAACATCCCATACAAACCTTTATAAATATATAACGTTACGCAACACGGTAAGAGTCACGTCCGCTTTTCTCGTAGTGAGCTTGGGCTGCCTGTGCCCTGAATGGTCAATCAGTGCACCGGTAAACCCATAGTTTTTATAACTGAAAAGCGCTCGAAAAGTTTATAAATCACTCTGTTCGGGTTCGTGGTTTGAAAACTTTTCTCGTGATCTCTCGGCACAGGCCCCTTGCGTGAGTTGTTACTGATACCGGCAAACCGGTAGGAAATGCAGTCTTTTGCATAATTAAACATAATTAAGATGTCGATTTTATTTTTCTACAGTTGCCATATTAATATCACTTGCCATGCTTGCGGAATTCTGTCCACCATTGCAAATTTCAGGTATCGGCACAATGTTTGCTGAATTACGGAAATCTGCAATACCACGATATTGCTTTGTATCGATATTTATACATAAAGTTATAAAAAGTTAATCAATACGAGACTGATCTTCATCAATCAATGCGTGATTGTTTTATAAAATGGTTTACTTTTTACCTCGCCTATTTAGTACCTTAATCCACCTGCACTGATTCTCCTCGCAAATATTGATCGACCAGCATAGAAACATTTACGAAACATGGAAAATTACCAATCAGAGTAACTGATGTGGAAAAGTAAAGTCTATAGGAAAAAACCGGATAGACACTAATATTGTTGCGGTTGACTGCTTCCGTAGCTTCAGTCCAATAAATTAAAATGTTACTCTTGGAGTCTGGAGTATTTGAATTTTGAGCAAATTTGCGCAATTGTTCTGTATTGGCGAACTATTTGCTAAGTTCAAAGTTACTTAAATTGCATGTTTGACCACCAATTATAGGGTTTGAAATAATTTTTTGGCGCAGAAAATTGACTTTTGTTTTGTCGATACTAAAAATAGAAGCTCTCGAAAAAAAAAATATCGATTCCGCTGCAAGGTTAAGATGGAGCCAGTAGAAAACCCATGTATCTAGTAGTTAAATATGCAGGCAATTAAAATACCAAGATTGAACAACGGTATGCCATCTTTTATGAAGAAATGTCTCACGATAATTAATTTTATTTTAAGAACGAGTTAGTGCAGGTGTAGCTAAAACCATTTGAGGTCAGAACAATTATGTAATCTTGTTATCGCTATGATAACACGCTGGAGGAGTGCAAGCACGCACTTCTTGGAGTTTGGCAAAAATAAACTTTTAATTTATCCTAACAGTCTCACTGCATCACAGGGGAGTTATGTTAGCATGATATTGATCTGGAAGCAAGTTTGCAAGAAATAACTTTGCTAAGAACACACTTAACCGCAGGCTGTCAATATCGCAGCACTCGTGCGACTGATATCCCATCACGAAAAGCGCTCGTAGTCGATGGACTGATGAAAATTCTTCACTTCAGCCTCAAAAAGCCAAATATTTACCAGATTGTTTAGAAAATTGTTCCCTTGTTGCATTTACATACTTCTAGGTAATCCGACACATTAATTATGAATATTGGGACTCATTGTTTGCGCATAAACAGCATGAGTAGCGTTTGACAGGTTGGGACTCAGGACTAGTGAGCGACGGACTAGAGGCAACGGGAAGATGCGGTAGTTGCTTGCCTTATCTCTTTAATGGTGTACATTTTCATGTGGGCAAATGGGAAATGCACAGGGGAAAAGTCCTGAAGGTAAGATATGAATTACATCTCTGTTTTATGTCGTAAAAAGTGCAAACATTCTTGAAATTCAAGAGTGACAAGGTTAGTTGTGAAGAGTAATTTTGCATGACAATGAGAAAGCTTGGAAAATTAACGGAACAGCCGAGTTTATTTCGCATTATCAGCTCCGAAGGCGAGTTTTACTTCGTTTATTTCGGAATTAAGGCCTATTAAAACGTGCTGCCGTTCATTTTAGTTATTTCCCCAGAGTTCTCTTCGCTTACCTGGTAAATAATTCGCAGAGTAACGGGCTTTTGCTGTGAAATACCTCTTGCGGCGTCACAATAAATTTCTGGTCTGTATCGATCGATTTTATCTGCGTACACCACAACTTGATGTTGTCATTAAGTCACTAGGGCCGTGAAAGTCTGTTTGCCAGATAAAAACATATGTACATAATGCGTAAGCTTTTTCAAACACTGAAACCCACTCGCGATTATAGTTTGTTTAAACAACATGGAGAAATGTACTGTTATTGTATGCCTAGCAGATTTGATAGAGCATTCGCAAGATTCTTTTTATTTCGAATGGTTTCTTTCGTTTTATCGCTTCAGCGAAATTCAACATATTGCATCAACACAGAATTGAATTTTCTCCCAGCGGAAAAACTCCGCAAGCCGTCGCTCACTAATTACTATTTATCTCTTACAATATTTATCATCGAGAGTTCTTTACATGTTTCATCTAGGAGAATTAGTCTGTCAAGTTTGTATGACCAATGTTTTCCTTTCCTTTATAATTCTTTCAATTTACTGGCCTATGAAAACATATGTCATCTTACTACTGTTTTAATTTCGTTTTCCGCTGTGATAGTACGTTTACTGTAATGCGATTTTTCGTGGGAGATACGTTAGCAAGTTATGAATGTTGTAGCCGAGTCCCGCTTTAATTTAGCCGGGAATACTCAGCATGTTAGCAAGTTGGTCTAAAATTCTCCATTTTTCTTAAAATTGAGGCGGACCAGGAATTGGAAGACTCAAATTGGAACTTGTAAAACCCTTCGTGCGTTTTAATGTTCTTTTTCCAAGATCTGGGATTCCGTCTGCATATAGTCATGGTTGCCAAAGCATTTCGAACGTTCAATCGTTGCATTTTACAATCGCTTTCGTGTTACATCCTTGTATAATCCCAGCTCTCAGAGGCAGATCATATTCTGGAACGTTTTTCTAGAGACAAAGAGAATAATACTTCCTGTATATTTAATCTTTTCGTTCTGTGATTTCCTGCGATTAAATGTCGAGAAATTCGACTTGCTCCTTAATTATTCAAAATGCAACTTCAAAGCCGTCAAACGAAGAAGCCGTCTAGCCGTAAAAAAGCATTTCATTTCTTAAGAGGGTGTCGAATAACATTGTTCGACGTCAATATTACCTCAGTGTACAAATAAGTTATCTTTCATAACTTAAAACGAGCTTCTTTAAGGATATACTTCGAACGAGGGAGTTGTTGTCGCATGTTGAAGGATGTGATGTTTTGATAAAATCGACTTACCGGTAGTTTTATTCTGCGCCAATTAAGTGATACTTGGTGAAATGACTGCACATCACGTTCGAACATTCAGTGTGAAAGGTGTGTGAACTTAATCTAACATAGCAGCCCATCAAGTTTCCTTTTGAAAGCGTATGTGGAACACACGTTGAAATGTATACTCTGGTAACAATCTCTCTCGAATACAATGCATCTTTTTCCATCAGTTTAACATAACTCTGTTTTTAATATGAGTTAAATGAATGTAGATGTATCAATTTGATATGCTTATACATAATCAAAGATGCTGGTTTGAGTTAATACGTTTGATCAAAGCTATACACTCTAAAAAGTCTGATATAATTGCTAATAAGCAACAGAAACTGAGTATCAAGGGAACTTACAGTAACACTGATCACACAATTTAATTTTGTTGTACTTTTATCGATTAAAAGTCTCTAAATATAATTTTTTATTTCTTTATTTAGCATAGGGCTATTTTGTTCATCAAATTTTGAGATAGACATTTTTTTTAGTATAAATATGTAACACTACTCTGCATTGTCCAAACTTGACTGTAATGATATACTGATGACTTTTGATGATCAAATTGCAACTGTTGTCCTCATGGCCAGCCAAATTCGTACATCGGTTATAGGATAAATTAACATCAGATTGAAGTTCCATTCAGTAAAAATTACTCATACAATGATTATAACATGTTCTTCAAGTCCAAAATCAATCTTGGGTCTTTCTTGAATTTTCATGTCATAGCTGGCACATTAGGTCTAGGAAACTGTATAGTCATGTGGTTTTATTATGAATTCTGGAGCAAGTGGTTAAAGTTCCATTGATTATAATTTGTTAATGAAGTTTAAGTAGCACTCAACATGTCTAGCCAAAGCTAGATAATCTTAATTAAAATCCTATTGGAAAAAAAAAACCACCAGAAAAAAATTGGATTAATAAATTCAACTAGACTAAACTCAACCCAGGTAGTACTGAGTTGTGATACCCTGTATATGCTTAAAACTGTATTTGGAGATTGCATGAGGGAATTTTGATGTACAAGAAAATACCATGGGGATGTGATGTTAAATTCACTTTTAAACACAAGCTGTAATTTGGTAATTTAACCTAAATAAAATGATAGTCCTGAAATTGTTTTATCAGCATATATTTAAGTTATTTCTGGTTTGTTCATGACCATCAGTTGGAAATATCTGGTTATGAAAAATTTGAAGGGTGAAACTGGAAAATTCTTTCTCCATTTGCTGGAAACATGACCATTATAATTATTTCTTCCTACAAATTACATGTGTAAATTGCATGCGTGACCTTCAACAGTGGCTGCCAAGACTGTTTCACAGGGAAAAATTATTTTTGGAAGCAATACTATAAAAAACAAATAGATACTACTGACTGAATCTAGTTAAAAATAGTATGTTGCCCTGTAAACAACTTTTCTGTGTGTATTGATTGTTGCAAAATAAAAAAAATAAGCAAGCTACTAGCTAGGGGATTGGATTAAGGTAACATTTGGACCTAAATTTTAATCTCTCTACTGGCCTTTATTAAATAATCACAAATTTAATTACACTGAAGTGTGCTTTACATTCCCTATTATGACCCCCTGTATATTTAAGACAATATGCAATATGTTGCAGTTTAAATCTATGGCTTTGTGTAATGAACTTAGTGGGAGCAAATGCTTTTCATATTTTACTGGATTTACCACCTGAATTTGATAATCTTGTCATCACCTTTTTGAAGTTGTCTTTTAATCTCTGATAACCAATTCTCTCAGACCTACATGATGTGGGACAGGTAAAGGACAAAAATGTAGATATTAATTTGTCAAAACACTTATTAGTAGAAAGGAATTGAACAGAAAGGTTTCTTAATACTTACCATGTCATGAAAAGAGTAGATTGTTTTCATACTTTTCTATATATCCTAGATGACCTCTTTTGAGAAGAGCAATGGTAAATGAAGGTTCCTCCCTCCTTTGCTAAAGCTCTTTAGATTAAAACTGCTGATCTCATACTTACTCTGAGCATGCAACAGTGTTATTTCCCATGGAAGAAAATATCACTCTGCACAAACTTGTCTCTAACTTACTTATTGTTGTCATCATTATCATGAGAGGAATAAATGTTAAATTGGTCAACAATGTAATTTTAGGGGGCAACAAATTTAACTTATTTCTCTCACATTATTTCTATACTTGTGATGCTGCATAAAATATGTGTGCAAAGCTATAAACTCACTAATAAAAGTTATTGATTTTAAATAAAGTCTTTATAACAGGGTTTATGAGTGGCTTTCCACAAAATGTCCCAGGGGTATTCACCAAATCGAAATATGGCATCCAATTTGAATTACCATTGTTTTGGACTTACTAGCCTCGTCTTGACGTGGAAACACAAAAGGATTATCACATGTGTGAGAGGCTAGTCAGTCCAGAACAATGGAAATTCAAATTGGACTCCATGTTTTGATTCGGTAAATTGGTTTAACTATTAATAGAGGTTTACATGTGTAAGGCAAGTGGTAAATTGTTACATGTACTTCGGGGCACTTACACTAAATGTCCTGTCATAGTAGCCATTGATGAAAGACATTGGCTGATCTTAAAGTTGATTTGTGTCCTGAGTTATTTTAATAAAATAAAAATATATATGATGATGCAATCAATAGCATAAGAAGTTAAGAATTCTAAAACTGTGAAAGCCAGAAGAATTTGTTATTGGATTTCTCATCATTTTTGCTGGTTTAAATTTGTTTTGTCCAGCAAAATCTTTTGAGTTTTCATAGTGAGTACTGAAACGCGTAGTACATTGAATGTATCCTGAGCATTTACAGTGCTCCTTAGTCTTCTATTATGAATGAGCTTGTATTTTCAGTGTGGTCACAGTATGAGAGTACTCAGTTAATTTCTTGTTTTGTTTCAGGTAAAAACAAAAGAAGGAAAGCAAAGTCTTCGAAGAGTTCTCCTGCAAAAGAATTTTCTCCCACACCAAAACGAAGTTCCACCTCAAATGGTTCTGTAGCAATAAACAGCAACCATAGGACTACAGAAAGTTCAATTCATTTGCCCCTGAAGGAATATGAAGTTCCAGATTTCTTAAAAGATACCCAGCCACTGCGACGCCAAGAAAATGCTGCTTCTCCAGTTGTGAGAAGGGATCTGAAGGACCCAGATTTTTCCTCACGAGGTGGACAGGGGCTAATGATTCCTAGTGAGGAACTAGTGGTGCCTGAGTTTCTAAGAAACAGTGAAGGTAGACAAGGACATGAGAAGTTACGACGTGGTGGAAGTTCCACTACTGTCATCAATAAATCTGGAGGTGCTCAGGGAAATGCAAGAAATGAAAGCAGAGGAAGAGCTACAGAAAAGACTGATAAACAGAGGCTCCCCAATGGAGTTACAAAAATAGACAGTAATGGCATGAGAGACTTTGTTACTATGAATGGAGAGCATAGAGTTCATAATCATTCACAAGGTGGTATTGCACCTCATAAACCAGACCAGGAAACAAAGACAGGGCAGAAACAAAGTGCTGACTTTCAAACGAGGTTAAGTAGAGCCTCGACAGTTGACCTTCCAGATAAAATTGCTCAACTGGGGCAAAATATGAGAGAAATTCGATCCTCAAAGACAAGTTCGGACACCGACAGTGATTTTAAGACAAGGAATAGGATAACATTTGTGGACATGGAGAGAAGAGAAGAATCAGGAACAAATGATGATGCTTCCTTGAAAAGGAAATACAAGAAAGGGGGTCATAAGAGTAAAAACAAAGGACAAAATGGTGTGAAAGACATTGCAGAAGTTTCACAGAGAATTGCAGCTTCTGCTAAGGTGCAGATGGATCCTGGTGGGAGGCGTAAATCGAACAACTGGCCTGCAGACACTGATAGTGTCCAGAGTACCTCATCACAGTCATTTACTGAACCTATTTCCACATTGTCTTCTGAGAAAGATAAATTTAGTGTTTCTGTGAGAGATCATGGGAACCTTGTCTTAAAAGGTGGTTTTACTAATGGACTTCTCTCTAGCTCTGGAAAATTACCAGGAGCTTTAAATGGCCATGGGGTAGAGGATGTAGACTCACCTCCTTCCACAGAAAGAAGTAGTAACCCTAATGACAGCCTCGGTTATAAGGAAAGTTCACCTGAGGAAAACCTTCGTAAAGTCAAGAGGAAGGACTCTTTGCAAGCTCATTTAAGAAACAGGATTACAAATTTGGAAAAAGTGAAACCTCTGCCCAGGGCTAGATATGACAGTGACTCCACAACTATCAGTGATCACAGTGCATTTGAAGATGTCCATATATTTCCTAATTCCCCTAGAAGAAAGTCAAATTTTGGGTTGATGACTTTGCATGATCTTCCTGAAGACGTTTTGATTTTTATTCTGTCTTATTTGTCTACAAAAGACCTTTGCATGGCATCAGGTGTTTGTCGAAAATGGCAGACACTCTGTTGGGATCCAGTGTTGTGGTCAAACATTCAAATCTCCAATTATCAAGGAAGTGACATCAACAAAGTTTTGCGGAATCTACTAGCAAGACTAGCCATGGACACTCAGGGTTACTGTATCACAGTACATTCGATAAAGTTAAATGGTTGTGAGCTACTGTCTGACAAAGGACTGGGTTTTGTTGCCAGGTTTTGCATAGATTTAGAGGAACTGGATGTTTCTGGTTGTTGCTGTATCACAAGCAAAGGTCTTCATGATATTTTGTTGAATTGTCAAACTATAACTCACCTTGACACCAGTGGCTGTACTTGCGTGAATAGTATATCAGCACCAGTCGCAAATGGATTTGGCTTAGGACATCAAGGATCATTCCTTCAGTTGCGTCATTTGGACCTTAGTGATTGTGTGGCATTTGATGACTTGGGTCTGAGAGTTGTGGGTCTAAGTTGTGGCTTGCTCGAAAACTTGTATCTGCGTAGGTGCAATCGTGTAACAGATGTTGGTGTCAAGCATATTGCACAGCACTGCCGTAATCTCAAAGAGCTTAGTGTCAGTGATTGCTTCAAAGTGAGAGATTTTAGTCTGAAGGAAGTTGCAAAAAATTGTCCAAGTCTCAAGTACCTCAGTGTAGCAAAATGCCCTATAACAGATACAGCAATGAAGTACATTGGAAAGCAGTGTGTCAAATTAAAGTACTTGAACATCAGAGGATGTGAAGCTGTTTCTGATGTTGGAATAACACACATTGTTCAGAATTGCTTGAAACTGCGATCTCTTGATGCAGGAAAGTGTGATATTACAGACAATGGTCTTCACTTGATTGGTATTCATTGTCCTCAGCTCAAGAAATTGAGTATACGAGGATGTGACCGTGTAACCAATACTGGGGTGAGAACTATTGCAGCTCAGTGCTGCAGTGTGCAATACTTGAACTTTCAAGAATGCAGCCTCAGTTATGAGACTTTTATGTACATAAGAGAACATTGCAAAAATTGTGTCATTGAGCATACATGCCCAGCATTCTTCTAAACTTTTCATGCAAAGTGGTGATGTGATTTCTTTGTCAAATATTCTTATGTTGTATTTGCTATTTTCAGTCCATCCAGTTGTGTGAAATTTTGAGAGATACACTACATTTCTTTCTGCCCTCTAATCCATGTGTTCCCACATCGCCTCAGTACCTACATACATGAGACAACTTTCCTTCCTGATATCCACTCCATATATCATGATAGTAAACATCCATTATGTTTTGCTTTGAGATTTGGGGCCATCATGTAAAATTTTTGATGATCAGAATTATTTATTAAGTAAGAGAACTGTAACCCTTGATGAGGGTGGGGTTTAGGTGGCTCAACCCCCTCCCCTTATATCTATAATACCCCCCCTTTCATATCTCTATAGTAGTTTCGTTTTCTCACCCTAGGCCTTAAAAATGCTCAGTTGCAACTGAGCAACAGTTGTAGAGCAAAAAGTAGAATATTGCCTGTCAAGACTATAAACAACTGAATATATTTACAACATATTTGTCAAAAAAAAAAAAATCTCTTGAAATCCTATTCAGATGGGCAAATTATAAATTAACAGTAATTCCAAGAACAAAACTTACATCATAACAATGAAAAAAAAAAGGATGTTGCAAGCATGTTTCCCTGGGTGGTAGTGGTTTCCCTCAAGTGTGTTCTCCTGACCATTTCTCAGAAGTCAACCTGAAATTATAAACTACAGGTGAAAAGTCTTTTACACTCGGGGCTTCAGCATGTGCATAAGTGATTTAATACTCCTACAGTGTGAAAATACACAACAGTTGAAATTGTAGAGTTATGGTTGTTGTTTATTCTAATAGTTCAGGAGGGAACTAGCATACGTTTTCATCTCCTGTTCAATCTTTATGCAAAAATTGGATTAGCTATTTTCTGAATATTTAAAAGAATTACCACATTGTTGTATTTCAGTCTGCAGTGAATATGATGTACAATTCTAAGAACTATCCACCATATTATTTTATGGGTCCTTTGTAAATTTCAAGTAAAAAGAGTTTGCTTGGGACTGTGTACTTGATGAATTTTTTACCAATTTTGTTCAGTTATGAATGATGTTATGCTTCCAGTTTTGAAGAGAATGTTAATTTTGTTGACACATTTCTGGAAGAATTTGAATCATTGTCATGGACAAATCTTACTTTTGGTTCAAATGGCAGGAGTTAATCAGAAATTAAAAATGGAAAACATGAATCATAATAAAATGTGGTGATCTTTGAGTCATTAATAGCTAGCCTTGTAGGTGTATATGGTGATCTGAGCTACTGAATGGTACCTTAAAAAAAAATGGAAAATCTGACAAGCTCTTCATCTGAACTCTATATCTTGCCAGTCTCACCACTGCAGCAAATCCTGGATTTCAGCATCCCCCAGCCAAATGCTATTAAATTGGAAGCTCTTCATTGTGACACATTCTGTGGACATAAGCTATGGTTCTAATTTGAGTAATGCTGATATAGTTGTTGAATCTGTTTAACTGTAGTTTGTATTGCAAGTGAAGTTAAGGGAAGGGCCTGTTCATTTATTTCAATTCGAGATGTACAAGGGGAGTAAGAAAATTAGTGTTATGTGCAAATTAAGGGCAAAAAGACAGCACCTCATTCCCAAATTAATTTTTCCCTCTCCTCAACATCCCTGAGTTAAAGGAGAGAAACTTTCCTCTTGTCACCAAAATATCAAAAATCACCCTTGTTCATACTCATTTTAACACAAAACAAGGTGGTATTACATATCTAGATAAACTGCCACAAGACGGAAAATGGCTACATTTTGGTACAGCCCCCCTCCCCGAAAAATGCAATACCAATATCTCTCCCGGAAAATTGCCTCTTCATGCTGGAGCTTGCATTCATGTTTTTTTCCTTTGACAAAAAAAAAATATATATATATATATATAATTATGAATAATTCAATAAGCGCGGGTAATATGCGAAAAACTCCCAACTTATTATAAGTGCCAAGATCGTTTTACATACATACGATAAGGGCTCAAAATCGCTTGAGTTTCGTCTCGCATGTAAGTGGATATCATCTGTGCAACTATGACGAGGCCAACTTGGCAAAAAAAAAAAAAACAGAAAAGTCTTTTTCTTCTATCTTCAACGGACTCCGACAAGGACTCCTCGACGCCGATGCCAAAGAGACCAAAAGAATTACCGATTTGAGGTCAGCGGTACCCAGATGAGGTTCCACAGCATGACGGGATTTCCCGCGCTTGCATGAAACTTTGCATTCTTTTACTAACCCGGGAAATTCGCATCTAAAACAGCTGAACCTCTGCTTTGTTTAAGGGCAGAATTTACGCTGTTTCCCGTGGTTTCTTTCTGAATTATCTCCTTTCGTCGATATTGATGGTGAACCTGTAAGAGGACTCACATCAGGCGAATTTACAAGTTCGATCTAATCGACAATTGTATCCCAAATTATGTCTTCAAATCGTCGAGTGTCAGTTCCAGCAATCGGTCTTCGTCGAAGCCCTCGAAGAAGAACGAAAACTCCTTCACTGAATGAACTTTCAAAGAAGTACAGTAAGTAAACCAGATCTACATCTTTTTTACATCTTTTTTTACTTTGATATGAAATCCTATTTAGAGGAGCTTCTCGAAGAAATCTTCGTTGTGAATGTTTTTGTTTGATCTCGTCGTTTTCACGCCTCAGTGTGAATCATCGTAGCAGCTGTGATGTTGTGATATTGTTTACAGCAAAAACCTCTGGATCTTGGCTTTTTTACCGTTGCGCTTTTAAATTGCCACTGAACTTTGATGTTCGCTCATATTTTCTCAGATCGGAGTAACATTTAGTTAAGTTTTCATCTTTTGAGTTTGATCGCGTGTTCTTCTCCTCTGATCGCGTCGGTTACGCACAATTCAGAAACACGAGGACATTATTACCTCTGGTCTCGTTTAAATTACTCTCGTTAAAAAGAATTGGCGTTATAATGAGAAATATGCCCTTGACCTGATCGCTAGGTAATGTTTTGATTGTATTGGAAGACGGGTCAATTGAATCTGGAAGTAAGTGTTTAAAAACATTTAGACTAGCTGTAATGTTTATGAATGAATGAAATGTCTTTATTTCGCTCGTTAAAATACGTAACAAACGTTACAGAGAGTAAAGATATATGGATAATTTAAAATAATTATGTAAAATCAAACAACACATAAGATATATGATATATATGATTAAAATACATAACAAACGTTACAGAGAGTAAAGGTATATAGATCATTAACAATAATTATGTAAAATCAAATAAAAACATAAGATACATGATTCACCGAATGCAAATATGGCTTCCAATTTGAATTGCCATTGTTCTGGACTCACTAGCCTCATCTTCACGTGGAAACACAAAAGGATTATCACATGTATGAGTCCAGAACAATAGCAACTGAAATTGGGTGCCATATTTGCATTCGGTGTATTGGTGTGTGTTCTATGTGTTCACTTGCAAATTGCTTTCCACACCAAAACCATATAGAGGTAATATCCATGCATGAAGCTAGGTATAAATAAATTCTGTATAAGACAAAAATGGGTCATCTGGAAGATAGAAATTAATAAAATATCTCCTAAGGATGGCCCAAATGGTTTAGACCATACCCAAGAGTAGCTCCTGACGTATATTAACACTTTCACTCTCAAGATTTTATTGCTAATTCTCCTAACTGTCCCCCGTACAATTACTATAACATTACTTCAGAGAATTTGGTATTGGATCAGCCAATGATCTCCTAATTTATAGTTTCATTATTCTCACTTCTTATCTGCTTGACATTGTTTTGACATTTGAAGAAGAAATTATGTCTCAGTCACTCATTCAAGTTAGAGGGTTAAGAGTTTGGAGACAAGTTGGGAAAAAAAGTACCTCAGTCCACCACCCTGAAAAACAGACAATGACTGAATTAAAATGTATGAGTGCCTTTTGTCCTCTGTCAGTTCAGATAGGCTTATATATGTTTTAAGTGGTGTTTTCCATGTCTAGAAATAAGCCCTAGAGGAAAAAGAAGACTTGAATTTCAACATGAGAAACACCAAGAACCATTAAAAGGCTGTACATTCTACTTGGATCTTGAAAACTACCGCAAAGCTGGCAGCTTAAAAGCTCGCATAAAAGAGCTCGGAGGGGTAAGAGGAGATTTAATATTTAACTGTGAAACCCCAGTTTAGGCAATAACATATTATACATGGAATACATAAACAACCAATCCCTTCTTTTGCTTCCTAAACATAATTTTATTCCATCACTTCTGTTATCTGCAACAGAATGTACATTGTACAGTACTATACAGCTAGGTCATGACTCTTCACCCATGTTGCTGACAAGAGTGTGTCTCAACTAAAGCTCATACTAGCACTTGGTTGAGTCTGGCTTCTTTAAAAAATTTTTAAGGTAGAAGTGAACCTTGTCATATTTTTACTGGCAATTCAGTGATTTGATGTAACTCATAAAGTTGCTAGCGCCCTGGTGGTACCAAGATGCCTCTCTTCTGAGAACAACTTGAACCCGCTGCTATTTCTCGCCAGTTTTTCAACGAACACATATAGAAAAGGCATAAGTTCTATGCTGTAAACAAAGATAACACTAGTAATATTTTTGTTAAGTGTGATATTAATCTTTTTTCACTTGATTAAACAGGCTGTAGAAGAATTTTTGAGCAAAGACATCAGCTGTGTTGTCACCAACAAGAAAGATGCTGACAGTCATTGCTCTCCAAGGAGCAACTCAACACCAAGCCCTATTTTATCAATTCCAAGTCCTTTTCCAGGCAACACAAAAAGGTAAAAAGAAATGTTATTATATGGCTGTGTCTCACGAGGACTGGGAACTACTGAATTCACTTATTTGATTGGCTGAACTCAATATCATCTAGACCAGTCTAGAAAAAAAAAGATACAAAGAATATAAAAAAATTGGCATATGAGACACAGCCATATAATAAACATCTTATCAACCGAGCTAGGTCAGTCTGTAGGAGAGAATCTTGTCCGCGTTCACTGATACAGACCTCACTGCATTCGGTCTGTAATGGCAACCTCAGTCAAGATTCTCCCATACAGACCTCCTGCTCGGTTAATAAGAACTAAATACCAACCACTTGTGAAGGCAAATATCCCTGACCCTTTACATCCCATCATCAGTATGCATATTCTCAGTACTGAGATCCCAAGATGCTGACAAGGAGAATTTGTTTAACAATCAAGTACTTCTTAATGTGTGATTCAGAGGTGATGCTGTAAGGGTAAATTTGATGCTAGGCATTCTTAGGGCTCGAAGAATAAAGGGTCTTACTTATTTTGGTTTTGCTTACATGGAGCTGATCTTCAGTTCAATGGATAGAGCGCTGGACTGTTGTGCGGGAGGTCGAGGGTTCGAGCCCCGGTCGGACCAACACTCAAGGTCTTAAAATAAGTGAGAAGAATATGCTGCCTTTCTATCAAGAAATGGTTAGGTACTCTAGTCTTCTCTGATAGGGACGAATAAATGGAGGTCTCGTCTCCTGCAACGCTAGGGGTAGGACGTTAACTTCCAGCGCACGAGATTGCTGTGTGATGGATGTCCTCCCCTGGGGTGGGATTGGGTGGGAATTGGCCCTGAAAAGCCCCCATGGGGAGTGGTCAACCATGTATGTATGTATGTATTGTCAAATTCAGATGGGGAGAAACTGCTTTTTTCTCAATATGAGTTTCTGGAAGGACTTATAGAGTAAGTCCAAATTCTTCAAACAGCCTTTTTTTTTAACGTTATCAGGCTAAGATGCCAAATGCTATTAATTACAAACAAATCTTTAATAAATGACAGTTTTTTCAAGCTTGAATCAACGAATCCTCTCTAAAATGAAAAAATTTCGGTTCAGGATTTTTAAGTTGAACTCTTTAAAGTATATAAAAAAAGTGAGTCAATGCTGAATGCTTTTTCCTTGCATGATTCCTCTAGCTCATCTGCCAAAGGCTCCGCCATTCCATCTCCATTAAGTGCAGACTCGTGTGGTACTGAACAAAATGGTCCAACTTCTACCAAACATAATATGAGAGGCAAGGCACTGGCAGCTCATGCAGCCATTACCTACAAATGTGGAACAAGCAATGTCACTGCTAATGCAAGAAACTGGGGTCTTCAAATCGTGTCACTGGAAAAGATGTTGGAGAAGTTGGAGCAATATGGTAGTATCCTAAAGAAACCAACATCCAAAGCTTTAGTTACTGGAAGAGTAGCCAAGCAGGGTGTCAAACCCAAGGTACGAAAGCTGCACTCTCCATTCATTAAGGTAGAAGATCACAGTCGCGCTTACAAGCCCCTGGTTCATGAGTTAAAGGACTGGCCAAAGATTTACTTTGACGGGTCATCGGGAAGTGGGCCGTTCGACCCGCCGAAGAGAGATGTGGAACATAAGCATGATTGTAGAGAGCCTGCCAGGGCTAAAAGGTAAATCAAACAAAAACACTTACAGTCAAACTTAGTGAAGCGTACCCCTCAAGATTACATTAATGAATTGATCATTTGGATATTGAACCTGCCGGTCGTTTCAAGAATGCAATAATGAATTGATTATTTGATTATTGAACCCGCTATCCGTTTCACGAATGCAATAATGGATTGATTATTTGAATATTGAACCCGATAGCCGTATCCGTTTTGAAAAGGCGCGGATCATTGTTCAAATAAGAAGTCCATTCTAATTATACCAATAAGATTGTTCTATTCGACGAGGAATCCTGAAAATGAACAAATTGCACTGTAAAAACACTGCGAAAACAGTCGATCGCAAATATTTACATAATAAAAAAGTTTTGCGATGGCTTTGCCCGTAAACTATTTTCTTCGACCATGAATGCACACAAGAATTTCTACAAGTTCGTCAAGATGTAAATAGGCGAAAAAAGCTGTCGATAACATTCCATTCACAACATTTCATTTACAAGAAGTTCTACACAACACTCGAACTCACCTTTCCTGCCATGTCTGACGCCATGATGAAATAGTTCCATTTCATCATCACGTGTTCGCTTAATCCAATCAGAAATGGACTTCTGATTTGAACAATGATCCGCGCCTTTTCAAAACAAATACGGCTATCGGGTTCAATATTCAAATAACCAATCCATCATTGCATTCTTAAAACGGTTAGCGGGTTCCATGTTCAAATATTCAATTCGTTATTGCGCTCCTGAAAAGATTAACGGGTTCAATATTCAAATAATCAAATCATTAATGTAATCCTGAGGGGTACGCTTCACTTACTTTGACTGTAAATTGTTAATTATTGCTGTGTGTACAATGAAGAGGAAGTTATCATAACTTAATTTTTTCTTTTCTCCAGGAAAAGTGTCCATGAAGACAAAAATAAGAAGAAAGGATTTTGTGAGTGTTGTTGTCTTCATTATAAGGATCTAGACATGGTAAGTACATTTAGTCATGTCATTAATAGTTTGAATAGCTTTCTCGTGGAACATTGGTAAAAAATCCAGCCATTTAAAACTAAAGCATATATCTCCCCGATATACACAGACCTTTTTTTCTCTGAGAGGAAAGTGTCTTTCTCAACAATACAAAACAATAATATGCAATATTATCTGAGTCTATCTTATCATTGTGTCTCCCACACACTCCAGCAGAGAGGTTTCTCTAACAGTAACTTTGTAAGACAACCTTTTTTATTAATTTCTCTTCAGCATCTTCACAGTGATCGTCATCAGGCATTTGCGAGAGACTCATCTAACTACAAAAGCCTGGATGAGCTCATCAAAAGAGGACCAAGCTTGCAAGAATTCTTGGAGAAGGTGTTGTTGAAACATCAACAAAAAAAGAAGGAGATGAAAGAGGAAAACAGGTGAAAATTAGCTCTAATAAATTCACTAGGAAGAAACAGTTTAACTGAAGATCGTTCAGATATTAATGAACGCCCACTGTATCTTTTTGTAATGAGGCTTAAGTGTCCTAATGGAAACTTGTGAAAAGATTACAGGAAGTTTCTTAGGTATAGCAAAATGTCTTCAATCTATTGGCATTTTCCAAGACTTGTGTGTTTGAAGAGAAAGTGAGACGGGTTTGGTAAAAGCTACTAGGTCATGTTATTTCCTATAGCTTGTTTCAACGTAGCTACTTCCATCATTAATTTCAATGCTCCTATCTTGTAACGTTTGGGAAATATCGCACTTTAACCACAGAACAGTGATGAATACAATGGCTTTAAAATTTTTTGTTCAGTTACCTGTAATATGGTATAGTGTAGTACAGTGCAGTTTATTTATCTCTTTTTCTCTGTTCTCTTGATTTAGGACTGAAATTCCCGGTTCTCAAAAATCCGTCGCAGATCGAGCTGAAGAAAAAACACCATCGAAGCAAAACAACCAGGAAGTGATTCCGGTGTATCAAACCCCTCCAGACCAAGGTTTGATGGAAAATGAAGGCTATCAAACACCCACTAACCCCTTCCCTGAGAGACCTGCTTGTTGTACACCAACCACCACTTCCTCCCCCGGGAGGAAGTATACTGATTATGATACTCCAAGAAGAACATCGAGACAGAGAACCGGTAAAGGTTCTCTTAAGTTCAAAGAGGCTGAAGTGCGGGAATTGCGCAGCAGTCCTGGACACTCTGGGAGCAAAACGAGCAGCTTAAAAGCGGGTGCAGCCGCACTTACGGCAGAGTATGTCAGAGTAAAGCGTATAAACTCGGAGAAAACAAGTCTGAAGGCAGCTACAGAAAGGGTTCCCAATACCAGATTACGGTCATCTTCTTTCCGTTCTACTGCAACGTGTTCTAAACGCGATAAATGTGCGTCTTCTCCATCACCTCGTGAAGACCTTGTGAGGGACGACTCCACAAGAAGACAAAGAATATCTCCCGTCCAAAATGTGGAGAATAATGATGCAGATGAGGAAACGCGCAATTGTGAACAAGGATCTTCAGGCGAGAATAGTTGTAAAGAAAACCAACAACCTAAGTCGAGTGTTTTTCATTCTAACATGGCGAGTTATGACAAAGACAGCGTTGTCCAAACGAAGCTTCGACCTAGAAGATTACAGTCTGATGGAAATGAAGTCGACGAGGTCAAGTGTAAAGCTGGTTCATTGAGTGAGTCCGGACTGGAGCTCCAAAATAAAAGTCCCGAGAGGACACATCTTCGACAAGATAGAGAGGAAAATTTCTGTGAAACTTTCATTTTAAAAAAGGATAGTTTCAAGTCTACTGAACAAACTGTGGATGAACAACCCAGAAACAACATTGTAGTTGAAAGCCTCGAGAACAAGCATCGTGTTCAACGTCTTGTGACTCATGCAAGCAATTTGCAACAGGATAGTCCACCAAACACCTCAGGAGAAAGTCTTAAACCAAAGAACACTCGATCTGCTAGAAAAGGAAAGTTATCCGATTGTTGCGATGAAAACGGGCTGATTGTTGAATCTCATGAAGAACTAACTCAAGATAAAGAACCCGCAGTAGAAATCGAAAGTCCCAGAAATACGCAGGATACAATCTTTGTAGAGCAAAATCATTCTGAACTCCACCACGTCAACAAGGATTCCGCCATTATCCGTGAAACTTCTATGCAAAACATCCAAATGACGTCACTTGAAACAAAAGTATTGCAAGAGTCGGAGCAGGACATTGAGATCGAAAGAATTAAAAGGTCATACTTAGGGTCTGCAACGATGGAAAATCATCAGAAATCATGTCACAATGAAAAGGACCATACATCTGCTCATGAGGAGATGCCTACAAAACATTTTTATGAAAGGGACAATGTTGTTAAGTCGTGTGAGGCTAGTGTTCTCAAAAAATCAGGGCAAAATATTGAAATGGAAAGTGCCAAGAGGCCATGTTTGAGGTCTGCTACAAGAGGGAATCATGGTGATGAAAAACCGGATGTAGAACATTTGCCGGAAACTATACAAAATAACACCCAGATGGAAAGTCCTAAAATGTCCTGTCTTCGTTCCCCTTCGAAAGGTGATAATATGCAGCCCAAAAGTACCGGATCGTCACAAACAAGGGAAGACAAGAAAGAGGGGAAAACAGAAAAAGGTAAACGGTCCTCCGATAAAACTCTGACTAAGAAGCCGAAAAAGAATGGAAAAATGTTGACTGATCAGCAAGAAAATACTGAGATAGCAAAAGCTAATACGGATAGCGATGTTACATGCACACGATCACGAGTTAAGTCCGCCCCAGCTGCAACGACCCATTCGTCTCCTTCATCGGATTCTCTGAGACCGGCTGCAGACGTGAAGCTCGTGAGGAATAGCTATGTAGACTCTGAGCCACAAAGAAAACTTCTCATTTCGAAAAATGAAGTTAGAGAAATTACGGAAGAAATAGAAGTAAATCAAAGCTCAAAGCGCTCTTTTCGTGACTTGAAAGATCCCTCAAACGTAGTAGTCAAGTTGTCTGATTGTAAGAAGTCGTGTGTTGACAGGAAGAGGCCTTTGCTAGATGTAGACTCAAGTTATTCTGACACCGAGAGTATTCAAATGTCAAATGGACAAACGTCATCGAAAGAAACTCCTGCCGAGGACGTTTTTTCGGACAACGATGAAAATGATCTCTCCAGTACACCAACACTGGACCACTGTTCCTCTCCCGCAAGCTCAGATAAATCGGGCTTTTCAGATGAAAGTTCAGCCAGAAGCAGAGGGTTTATCTTTAGAAGACACGCAGAACAAGATGAGTGTGACTCTAAGCTATGTTACAGGACCAGGTCAAAATACAAAATCCCAGACAACCCCATGAGTTATCGTCATCGAAAGAGGAGAACTGTTTCCACGGACTATACTAGTGTTAAATCAAAATCCAGAAGTTTCAAACAAAGATCTCACTCGGTACAAAGTCACCAAACCAGGACACCGAAGAAGAAGGTGAAAAAAGAGGAAAAGGAACAGATGAAAAACCCAGAGACTAGGCCTTGCCGTGGAGAGGCCTTTCAAATGAAAGACCTCTCATTTGAGGCCGATTTAAGTGCCACTTCTAGTGGTCCTCGTCGTGGGTCCACTCATGCCTGCGGAGTGCTTACAGCTGTGAGAAACTTGCAAAAGCTTGCTGTAGACAGCGTCGACGAAATAATAGATCCTTTTCTTTCTTCAGATACAATTGTATCTTTGGAAGATGTTTCCGTAACTGCTGTTCGTGGGTCACCCGCATGCATGGAAAGTGCTAAAAACTGCGTTACTGGTAAATATTCAGGAATTCAACTCTTTGAAGGCAGCCCACGTATCAAAAAAGATTTCCATTCTGCAGCTTTTGCAGTCAAACATTCTGAGAAACGATCTAGTGTTACTCTATTGTTTGAGTCAGATGATGAGGATGAAGAATTTAATGGCTTTGATGTGCCGCAGTTCTTTGGGTCGTTTTCATCTGAGGGTGAATGTGAAGGTTTGAGTTATAGGATTAACTCCATTGTGGAGAGTATAAACTATGGTACTGATGAAGCCACTGTAACAGATTCTCAGAAGAATGTCACTGTCGAGGAGGTTAAAACTAGTGACGAGGATGCGGAAGTCGAGGAATATATTGGAAGGGAGGAGGAACCATCGATCAAAAAAATAGGTGCCAGGAAGGGAGCTTTTGACGGAGATGTTGAAATAAAACAAAATGAAGCTGCGAGAGTGCTGGAGGAGAGAAGGTCAACAACTCCAGTCGATATTCTCGGAAGCAACGTACTTGACCCACGGCCAAGTGCAGTAAAAACGTCCGTAGTGGACATTATTTCCAAAGAAGGTACTGATGATTTTGATGAGAATGACGATGTGTTCAACGCAGTGGCTGGCAGCACTGATGGAGAAGATGACGATGATGACGCTGCAGTAAGTTCGCCGTTCAATATCTCCAGCTGGACGCGGAAGCTTAATTTTGAGAATTTTCGGGCAGAAGTCTCCGAGCAAGTGGAGGACTATGTGTCGTCGTCCACTTACAGTAACTGGAGACGAAAGCGTAAATATGAAGACCCTCAGCCAGAATTAGGGAGGCCAACGAAGCGTAGGAAATCAGACGAAGGGGCGGAGGTAGATTGCTCCTCCGAGTGCTCTAAAGCAGTTACCCCTGTTAAAACTGGAGCGCTATACACTTTGTACGAAACTATTGAAGAACGGGTCAAGCTACGTCGGATCATGGAACTTTCTCTTAAAGAATACGAGAATTCCCAAACTGTAAGGGAGCAAAATGACCACAATGTGCAATCATCAGCAAAAGAGATGGACGGACAGAAATTTCCACCCTTAAAGCCATTGAAGGGCAATTCCACGATTCGAACTTCTCCGAGTGTTCGTCCAATCAACACCTCATCAAGTTCCTTCCCGTCACCACTCGCGGGTCCTTCTCGAAAGAGTCGGAGAGCCACGTGGACTTCTGACGTCAATGCGTTTGCGTCACCACCCTCTGCAACGTCAGGCTTCAAAGGTAGACAAGTTAGGTGTTCGACTCCTATGTCAGCCTCAACTCCTTCCCAACGTACTTTGAAAGAAAAGAGCGGAGAGAAATTTCCACCCTTAAAGCCGTTGAAGGGCGTTTATAGAATTGGAACCTCGCCGAGAGCTAGTCCAATCAACAGCTCGCAGAGTTCCAACCCATCGTTACTTCCGGTTCCTTCTCGAAAAAGTCGGAGAGCCACGTGGATTTATGACGCCAATGCGTTTGCATCACCATCCCCTGTATCAGCCATAACTCCTTCCCGACGTACTTTGAGATCGCGCAGACACCAAAAAGGCACTGAAGATTCCATTCCTCAGATATCAAGACAAGGAAGGGACGTTTTTGCTTTTGATGAATAACCAGATAACTCGGATTGTGAAAAAAGAAGTTATTCCTAATCTAAGAGATTGCAGAGGAGTAGGGTATAGAATGTTTTGAAGAAAGTATATTGTACATAGAGACATGTTAATGAACATTTTGTCGTAGATTCGTTTTTAGGGAAATTTTTACAAGTTCTTAGACGAGTGTTTTCAGTACAATGGAAAAGGTAGCGTTCCATTGTTAAATCGAATAACAACAATCGCTAAGTACTAAATACGAGCCATCCGCCAATCTTAAAGAATTCCGAGTCAGATAAGTGTCTAGATGCATAAACTGAGAGAACACCAGTCCTTAAAGAAAATCCGCCTAAAGATACCTTTGGGGAATGTAATTTTCTCAACAAGAACTGCATGTTAAGTCCAGATCGAGTTAAAGTATATTTGAATTTACGGATACACTTTGGCTGTTTCCCATTTGTAGAGTTTTCAAATTCTCACAGTTTAGCTTTGTATATATTTCATTCGTATTGTCAACATTTCGCATTTCACATCGAGTTTGAGATTACATGTCTGTTTATTGAATTTTATCACAAACTGTTCGTCATAACAATCACAATTTCAGATTTTAGCTGAGTAGATTTAAATGACTTGTGGGTTATTCTAAAGGATTGATATACTGAACATTAAACTTTTTTAGAGACAGCTATTCGTAATCCTTGTTCGTTCCTTGAAAGTTTTACACCAAGGAGAAGCAATGTTTAAAGAAAAAAAGGGAAACATATTACGAAGGTGGAGTTCACTATGCCAAACCTCGGATGTGCCGTAACCATTAAAAGATGTGCCATTAAATTTGGGGAAACTGGCATGCAATCAGCAAATAGTTTTCCTGGTCCAATCAGAATTCAGTTCTTTTTGAAATCGATAAAAACTCTTACAGCCAAGCCTCAGTAGTTTTGTAATCATTTTGGTAAAATTGATACAATTATCTTCAGAAATCGTACTAATAGCTTTTCGTTGATTACTTTTTTGATTTCGACCGAAGCGTCGGTGGAGATTTTTCAGAGAAAACAACACCAGGTAAGAGTCAAAATCAAATGATCATCTGAAATGGAATGTCTGGGATCAAAAGCGGAAAAAAGAATTTCCTCTACGAGCCTTAAATTTTCCCCTTTTTATTTGGTTTCTCTCCTTTTTATTATTTCGCTGAGTTTGGTCCTGCAGATTTGAAAGAAAACGCAGAAAATGGATGTAATTTCATGAAAGGTTTACCAGTATGAAGTAATGACTGACAGGCCCGCAAATCTTTAGAAAATGTGCACTCGATTTCCCTGAAAGGGTTTTTTCTTCTTTTTTTCCAAGTTTAAGGTTAACAAACCCGGTTGCGTGCGTCTATCTTTTTCTAGTAACATTTTTCATACGAGTCTAAATAAATCTGTCTGACCCCCTGCTCGCCTTAGTAGCTTCTTTTAGTAGCACCTGCTTTATTGCAGTATGTTATTGTATTCCCGTGGAGAGAAAAAGTATCAAAAATGATAAACTGCCTGAGTGGAGTAACAGTAGGAAAAAAGTACGATTAAATTCGATAAAATTGCATTTCTCAAAAGTAATGTAAAAGCATATCAAGAGGTCAGGATGCGAATTATTGAAAAGAAAAATTATTCGAGTACGTTTTGCTATTGCTGTTATTGTTATGGTTGTTTTTCGTTTTTGTTTTCGTTTTTGTGGTTACTGCCGAAGCAACTACGAGATGAGTGAGTGAGTAAGTATAACAGGTGAATTCCGATCTTGACCCAATTTTGACCCGATGTTTACTGACGCTACTTATTGTTTTTATCTGAGAATCTTATCTGAGGAATTTGATCCTCTTGTTGCCAATTTCCCACTTTGGACACTGGGGCCAGTTTTGTGATTTTGGCCAATAGTGGCCGATTGGCGATCTTGGCCACAAATGGCCGATTTGCATTTCTGGCCGCTAGTTGCCGTTTTGCGATTTTGACCACTAATGGTCCTTTCGCGATTTTGGCCACTAGTTGCCGTTTTGCAATGTTTGGCCACAAGTGGCCATTTTGCAATTTCGGCCACTAGTGGCCGTTTTGTGATTTTGGCCGCTACTGGCCCTTTTATAATTTTGGCCACTAGTCACCGATTTGCGATTTTACCCACAAGAGGCCGTTTTCAAATTTTGGCCACTAGTGGCCAATTTGCCATTTTGGCCACCAGCGGCCGATTTGCGATTTTGGCTACTAGCGTTCTCCCATTTTAGCCACTACTGGCCGTTTTTCGTTTTTGGCCATTAATGCCCGTTTGCCATTTTGACTCCTAGCGGCCATTTTGTCGTTTTGCACAGTAGTGGCCGTTTTGCTATTTTGACCACCATTGGCAGATTTGCCATTTCGGCCACTAGTGGCCGTTTGTCATTTTGGCCACTAGTGGCCGTTTTGCCCATTTGGCCACTAGTGGCCGTTTTGCTATTTTGGCCACTAGTGGCCGTTTGCGATTTTGGCCACTAGTGGCCGTTTTGCGATTTTAGCCACCAGTGGCCAAATTTGCAATTTTTCGCCACTAGTAGCCAATTTCCCATTTTGGCCACTAGTGGCCGTTTTGCCATTCTGGCCACTAGCAGCCGTTTTGACATTTTCGCCACTATTGGCCGTTTTCCCATTTTGGTCACTAGTAGCCGTTTTGTAATTTTGGCCACTTGTGGCCGTTTTGCGATTTTGGCCACCAGTGGCCATCTTCCGACTAATGGCCGCTTTGCAATTTTTGCCACTAGTAGGCGATTTGCCATTTTGGCCCCTAGTGACCGTCTTGCCATTAATTTTGGCCACTAGTAGTCATTTTTCCATTTTAGCCAGTAGTGGACGTTTTGTGATTTTAGCCACAAGTGGCCGTTTTTCCATTTTCGCCACTAGTGGCCGATTTGCCGTTTTCGGAACTAGTGGCCGTTTAGCCATTTTGGCCACTGGTGGCCGTTTTGCCGTTTTGGCTACTAGCGGCCGTTTTCTCAATTTAGTCACAAGTGGCTATTTTTGCTATTTTGCCACTAGTGGCCGTTTTCTCATTTTGGCCACCAGTGGCCGTTTTGCAATTTTGGCCGCTAGTGGTCATTTTGCGATTTTAGCCTTTAGTGGCCGATTTGCAATTTTTCGCCACTAGTGGCCGATTTGCCATTTTGACCACTGGTGGCCGTTTTGCCAGTTTGGCTACTAGCAGCCGTTTTGCCATTGTGGTCACAAGTGACCGATTTCCGATTTTGGCCACTAGTGACGGTTTTGTGATTTTGACAACTAGCGAGCGTTTTCCAATTTTGGCCACTAGTGGCCGTTTTACGATTTTGGCCACTAGTGGTCAATTTACCATTTTGACTACTAGCGGCCGTTTTGCAATTTTGCCCACTCGCGTGAAATTTGCCATTTTGGCCACTAGTGGCCGTTTTGTGATTTTGGCCATCAGTGAGCGTTTTGCCATTTTGGCCAATACTGGCCGTTTTGCGATTTTGGCCATTAGTGGCCAATTTACAATTTTAGCCACTACTGGCCGTTGTTTTAATTTTCGCCACTAGTAGCCGATTTGCAATTTTGGCCAAGAGTGGCCGTTTCACTATTTTGGCCACTAGTGGCCGTTTTGCAAGAAGTTTTGCAAAATAGCCCTTTTTCTATTTTGGCCACTAGTGGCCAATTTGCAATTTTGGCCACAAGTGGCCGTGTTGCTATTTTGGCAACTAGTGGCCGTGTTGTGATTTTGACCACTAGTGGCCATTTTAAAATTTGGGCCTCTAGGAGCCGTTTTGCCATTTTGGCCACTAGTAGCCGTTTTGCCATTTGGCCACCAGTGGCATATTTGCCATTTTGGCCACTTGTGGCTGTGTTCTTATTTTGACCACTGGTGGCCGTTTTGCATTTTGGCCACTACTAGCCGATTTGCCATTTTGACTACTAGTTTCCTTTCTCCTATTTTGGTCAATAGTCGCCGTTTTTGCAATTTTGGCCACTAGTAGCGATTTGCCATTTTTGCCACTTGCATATGGCTGTGTTTTGATTTTAACCACTAGTGGCCGTTTTGCAATTTTGGCCACTAGTAGCCGATTTGCCATTTTGGCTACTAGTTGCCGTTCTCCTCTTTTGGTTAGTAGTGGCCGTTTTGCAATTTTCGCCACTAGTGGCCATTTTGTGATTTTAGCCACTAGTGGCCGATTAGCAATTCTTGCCACTAGTGGCCGATTTCCCATTTTGGTCACTAGTAACCACTTTGTCATTTCAGCTACCAATGGCCGTTTTTCCGTTTTGGCCGCTTCAGGCCGTTTTGCTATTTTGGCCACTAGTAGCCGTTTTGCGATTTTGGCCACAAGTAGCCATTTTGCAATTTTTGCCACTAGTGGCCGATTTCCAATTTTCGCCACTAGGGGCCGATTTGCCATTTTGACCACTAGTGGCTGTTTTGCGACTTTCACCACTAATGGCCGTTTTTCGATTTTGGCCATTAGTGGCAGATTTGCGATTTTGGCCACTAGTGGCCGCTTTCTAATTTTGGCCGCTCGTGGCCGTTTTCTAATTTTGGCCACTAGTGGCTTTTTGCAATTTTGGCAGCTACTGGCCAATTTCCAGTTTTGGCCACTAGTGGCCGATTTGCCACTTTGGCCACTGATGGCCGATTTGCCATTTTGGTCACTAGTGGCCATTTTGCCGTTTTGGCCACTAGTGGGCGATTTGCCATTTTTGCCACTAGTGGTCGTTTTCCGTTTTTGGCCACTTGTACCGATTTCCAATTGTTGTTACTAGTGGCCGATGTTCCATTTTGGCCACCAGAGGCTGTTTTTCCATTTTGGCCACTACCGGCCGTGTTGCCATTTTGGCCACTGGTAGGCGGTTGCCGTTTTGGCTACTTGTGGCCGTTTTGCTATTTTGGCCACTAGTGGGGGCTGTCTTGCGATTTTAGCCACTAGTGGCCGATTTGCCATTTTGGCCACCAGTGGCCGTGTTGCCATTTTGGCCACTACTGGCCGTTTTGCTATTTTGGCCACTAGTGGCTATTTTGCGATTTTGACCACTAGTGGCCGTTTTTCAAATTTGGCCCGCCACTAATGGCGGTTTTGCCATTCTGGCCACTAGTGGCTGTTTTGTGATTTTGACCATTACTGGCCATTTTGCGATTTTGGTCACTAGGGGCAGTTTTGGGATTTTGACCATTAGGCGCCGTTTTTCGTTTGGCCTAGAGTGGTCGTTAATTTTGTGATTTTGACGTGATTTTGTCCACGTCGCAGATTTTTCATAAATTTTGGAAAGCTTGCGTTTAAGGTCATAGCCGCCATAAAATTGTAAGGATTTGAGATTGTTTGAATATATCTGTTGTATAGCACGGCTTCATGCAATTTTTGCAGCTTTTATTAAAGTGTAATGATAATGTAAACGGTTTCGATCCGAAACAATCGCGTGAGTCTGCAAAGCGGAAGTCATGCAACATCGCTCTTTCACCGGAAGTTTGAGGGAACATATTTATTTCGTTTCATCGTGTTTGTTAATCATTCAGACGACGCGGTAAACACGTTCTAATGAGTGAATTCAATCGAACGCTGTATCAATGTAGCATCGAAAATGGTGTGCACAGCGAACTCTGATGGCATGATTTTGTAGATTTATGTGGGGTTAACGAAAGGTATGGAGTCCCAGGGACGTTTTGATAACGAAAGCCAATCGGTTTTGAGGGACAAACTGTTTTGACGGTGTTGGAGTAACCGAGGTAATTCAACACTACTTCTTTTTTTAGATCAAATAGTGTCTGCTGCCTGTTCTTAGCTGGTAAGCAACACACTGTTAAACGCGCAATGTAGAAATTAATCACTGCTAGTTAGTCAAGAATGGATGACATATGCTAATATAGTAGCTGAATAGTTTGTACGCGTTGTGAACTGACTGATGAGATGGGAGAAAGCACCGTGCCCTATGAAATGAGCAGGCAAGTAACAAAGCGAGGCACTTTTGCCGTGCTAGAAACGGTTTATACATGTCGTAAATATTCTCCATGAAACTGTTGCGGGACTGATTTGATTAACACAGTCATTTGAATTTTCCGCAATTTGCTTGGCGTTGCGGCAAATTAATTGTATTCCTGTCATGTACTTTTTTTTCAGTGGTTTTACTTACAAGAATGCAGTGGTATTGTGTATTCATGTAAAATGTAGACCTTGCATCACTGGGATTATTGTATAGGGAATATGCATAATAACATAACTTGTGTGAATATCTCAGTCTCTAAGCTGTAAGATTTTACACCACTATCTTCATCGGTATAATTATTATAATAATGTATATATGGTGTATAGTTGGGAGCATGCTAAGAGACAACGATTGCTATGTCGAAGTAAAGAGCATCAAGTCCATATATTAAGCGTATTTAATCAACCTTATCGCGTGGTGAAAGTTTTGCAGTACGCAGTCGTAATGTCGCGATCTAGCCGAGTAATCAGTATTATCTTGCAGTACAAACAATAAGCGCTAACGACAGAGCTTTATTGTTACTGTTTTCACCGAGAATAACAACCACATCACGTTTTACAAGGTTTTTTTAACATCCCTGATATTGATACATTATTGACCATTGTTATACATCAGACTTGCATTGAGTGTAATTATTGGAACATTTTTGCAGCATTAGTGTTGGCTGCAGTGATCACAAATCAGCGCGCTGATCATGCGTATCGTCCTCATTAGACTGCTGTAAGTCGAGACGAACACACGACAGGGAACAGTGGTAAATTACAAACGAAATCTACAGAGTTCATCTGAAAAACATTACCCAATAACTACTAAATGTGCTTCAGGAAACACCCTCTTTCTCCTAATCTTAGTCAAGCTACTTTGTTTTCATAATTTCGCCTAATCCTGTTTCATGATTTGTTTTTTACGACCCTGTTGGTCGGTTGCTTTTAATTAAGGAGCCGGAAACGAAAACATAATTGAGATGTTTTACCATTTTTGTTTTTCATTTCGGCCGTTGTTGCTGGTCATTTACCATGAAAGCGGAAGAGTTAAGTTTTATAAAAAGAAAATTTCGTAACGGCAAAGCAATTTATTTTCATGTTCCCTTGAAAAAGTAATAAAGAAGATGAAGGACCTGATTCTTTTCTAGCCAAAACAGTATCTCGTTCTTTTAGCTGGTTTTCACTATCAACTGTTATCAAATGTTGTGACGGACAAATAGTTCGTCAATATTTCCGACGTTAAATAAATTACAGGTAGTGTTTATTCCGCTTAAAAAGCTTGCGTCTCAGGAAAATGTTGAACCAGCCAGTTGAGTCACTGAAATTGAACGTTCTCAAGAACTGAAGCAATCATTCAAAAATTTGTACACGTCGTCCAGCCTCCAGCATCTCTACTTCTTGTCGTGAACCCAGTAAATTCACACTCGTATACAGTAAACTGTGTAAATTTATGTGGAAATTCATCGTTTAGCTAGGAGTTATCTTGTTTTCCATAAACGTGCCTTAGTGCGCAATCCTCTGTCTCGTGTAATGTTCGTTTGAAATTAAAATACTTAAACATTTTAATAATTTTTTCCTAATCTTTTAGCCTTGTATATAGAATATCTTTTATTAAGCGAACATTATGGACATAAAATACTTTCGTTGTTGTTGTTGTTGTTGTCATTGTATACTCCTTTGGAATTCACGTCATTGTCCTTTTAATACAAAGCATTGAAGCACCAATTATTTTTGATATGTTAATGCTTTATTTGTATTGCAGATAACTAAGTAGTATCAGAGCAGCCCTTTGAAGTGCAGTGGAGACATTTGCTTGTTGATAACATGACATTGGCTATCAAAATCGGAGCGACTGTTTTACTTCTTTGTGTAAGTAGCTAGTTAAAACTAAGTAGAAATGGACTCAACTTCGGTTTTTCAAACTCTAGTCTTAAACCAGATGGCAAAAATCCAAGTTATCAACTTTGTTGGGAAGAGCGCCTTAAAATCAGTCAAATTTTGAGAAAGTTTGAAGACGCTTGTTTAGTGAGAGGAGGGGAAAGAAAGGATACGAGGAACCAAATTGACCCCCTTTAGCTCACTTCTTGAGTTCTCATCATTTAGAATCTTTTCGTGCTTCTTTTTTCTAGCTGGTTTTTATTTTAACAACCCTGCAACAGGATCTTGAGGCCATTCAAGAAAAATTAAAAGAGTTCTGTCTCAAGAACCCACAAAACTACATTAAAGATCCAGGTAAGCTTGCGGCGGAAAGCACAACTTATCGTAGTTTACAAAGTCAAGACTCCAATTTATTATAATAAGCAATGCGAATTTTAGTTCTTCAACATGCTAGCGTGCAACATGCTAGTATTTCTTTCATCTTCCTGTAGCCTCGAACCCAGATGTATATCCTTGAGAAAAAAAAAATGAGAATAGACGCGCGAGGGAGGAAGCGAATGCGTTTCTTGTACTTTATGATTGTATTACACACTTCGCTTTAGTCGCTTAGAGGATCGAGTGTTCGTTGCTAGGCTTGTGCGTGCAATGCATTATTGATCTTTCCAGCTGGTTATAAGGTAAACAAAATTTCACGATTTGTGCTCACCTAAACACGACACTCTAGATTCATCGTAGTTATATATCTCCCAGAGAAATCCTTCAAGTTCCCCTGCCACGTTCTGGCCCCCTTTGATACTTCTGAGTGGAATACGCACTTTGAAAGAACTATTATATTGAAAAAAAAACCTCATTAAAATTAACTTTCAATTTTGATTTTAATGAGGTTTTATTTTCAATATGATAATGAATGATACTTTTTTAGCTTCGACAATCAAAAATTCGCCGAAAGTACTATTATCCTCTCAAAAAACGTGGCTCCCAATACCTGACACTTTCGATTTTTTTTAAATAGGTGTTGTTAAGTGCAAAATACTTTATGATGCCGCTTGTTGGAAGGAGACCCCAGCAGGTCAAACAGCCGTACAACCGTGTCCTTTTCTGCTGTTTTCGACAAAAGGTAAACTCAAATTCAACCTTTTACTTTAAATCCTGCTGAACTCCAATACCCCGATTCTAGTTGATTAACGGCTTTTCAAACTAATATACTGTTTCCTCATTCCCTAATGTTTTAAAACTGAAAATATATATCATCTTGTAGCGTTGTTTCTTTAGCTTCCCCAAAAGTTACCTTAGAACCCAGGTTAACAAACCGATATGCCTCCGCACGGACAATAAAGTACATCCTAGAAAGACTAACTTGCTGGTGAACTCTTCTAGATAATATTTCTCGCCGATGTGATAAGGAGGGTAACTGGCAAGAGATGAACATTACACAATGCCACAGACTTACCCCCCAGGAAGCAGCTGATAAAGGAAGACAATTGTCTAACACACCGACGAAGAAACAGGTAAATACGAACAAAAACAACTCTTTACATATAACGCACATATCAAGAAATAATCAATCGAACAAACAACCATTGAATGGTTCTAAAAAGCTTCACCCACCGTTCGTTTAAACCTTCGAACTTTATTCACATATTATATCCATTTTTGAAGAAAATAGTCGTCTCGACGAAAAAAGAAAACAAAGGAAACTCTTTAACATGTTTCCTTATCTTACTCCTCACGAATAGAGAAAGAATGCGGAAAACAAGTAATGACTTCTTCTTAAATTCAAAATTTTGCCTCTGTCCTTTTACTAGAACAGCATACTTTTATATTCTGTAACACACAAGGAACTAAAGTGAAACTCTTCAGGTGGCCTTGATTTAATTCTCACACGTGAGTGATGCGTATTTAAAAAATAACTACATCATCAAAAGCGCGGGAAAATGTACGTTACTGCATCGGTATTGGTTTGAGGTTCACCTCTGATTGATTAATAGGTTGATGCGTGTTTTGTTGGCCTATCACAGAACGTGGTGAGGTTAACCCAATGCAACACTGACTTACCTATCGACACGCACTCAATTGAAATCATTGGCTCGATTTTTGCTTGATTTCTTTCAATTTTGCTTCTTTTGTTAACAAATGGTAAACACCACAGCGTACACTATTGAGTTATGGATGCACGCGGGAGGTTGCTAAGCACGAAAGAAGCGTAAGAGTCGCTCGAGGCGATAGTCGAGAGCGACTCTAGCTTCTTGAGTGCTTAGCAAACCTCCCAAGTGCATCCATAACTCAATAGTGTACGCTGTGGTGTTTACCATTTGTTTTATAACATAACATTGATACATTGTAGCTAAAGAGTTCCCTTTTATTTAACAAATCTTACGTGACCAGAAAAAACAAGCGCGCGCGGAAAAATAGTCTTTGCATTTGCTCACGTCAGCAGCGTACACCCATGGGCAAATGGGGGACGCTAAATTGACCAATCAGAGCGCGCGCTTTACTTTGGTTATGTTATAATTTATTTTATAGGACGACTCTCTTACTCATGCCCAGCGTGTGCAGCGGGTTTACATCGCTTTTTCTTGGATCGAGTTTTTCGTCCTGCTACCTACATTCATACTCATCTGTATTGTCATGTAAGTGGATCTTTATTGTCCTTTCAAACCTCTGAGTCAGTGTAATTGTTGGTCGCAAGAAAACCCTCTGCTATTAAACAAAAAAATGTTTTTTTACAGAGGACGTACGTCAGAATCATCTAATTCATACAGCGGTTTACTGCTTTTAGACATCGATGTCTATTATTAACATGCAATTTTGCATTAACAGGGGCCGTGAAAATGATCGATTCACCTTGCACAAGCACCTTATCTTGGCATTTATTCTTCGCATCGTCACTTTGTTCATTTATTACTATGGGAAAATGGGAGTGACAGACTCGAACATGGTAAGGCTCCTTCACTTTCTCCTTTTTTCATCATTTTTCTGATCAACTTCCAAATCCACCCCTTCTAGGGCGACAGAGCTAAATAATGAAATGCTTCGTCAGCGGGTATGCGGTCAACAACGCGGGCTTAAGTATCCTAGGTCTAAAACTTAGCGAAACTAGCGGAAAATAATAAGGGCTGACCTTTAAAACCGAGGAACTCTGTTTTCGTCGAAGGCACTTTCCTATTTCCAAAGGTTTAAAGGAGAAAATTAATTTTTGAAAATTTTTAGGGGGTGTACCAGATTTTTGGAGGTTGCTCTGTAAAAGAAAAGCGGTAAGGAAAACGACGCCTCGAAGCAACAGAATAGGAAATCAACCATACGAACGACTCAAAATCCGTGTTTCCGCGGCAAAACCTGGCGCATGCGTATACATTATTCAGCTCTGTCTTCTAGGGTATATGTTGGGGGGACGTGTTTTGTGCGATCTTGATAGACCAGTCTTCCATCTAAGAGTGAGGGCGGGTTTTCCAAGTTGTTCATGTTACGCAACATCCGCAACAAATTCCCTACTGCGAGCAAGTCTGATATGCAGATTGTATCTTTAATCTTTAAAAATATTGTTTTTGTTGCCTTACTTCATACAGGCCGTTTGCAATGCATTCTGGTTATTGAACCGCTACTTTGCAGCTTCGGAGATAACGTGGATGCTCAATGAAGGGGTTTTTCTACGACGCATGCTCGCGTATCCCTTTGATAGCGAGTCATATATATGGTACTATTACGTCTTCGGTTGGGGTAAGTTTGAGCCCAGTTGCTACCGTGTAACTGAAACTGAAATGTAGAGCCGTGCTGGGCCGTGAAAGGTTTAGATAAAAAACTAGTTTGAGCTCTCGTTGATTAAAAAAATCAAGGTGCCAACAACACCTTTGTAAGAAATAAGAGTTCGAAACCTCTCTCAAAGTCCAGTGTAGAAATAGGAAAATAATCCAAAAGTAATGTTCGAAAACGATTAAAAGTAATGTTCGAAAACGATTAAGATAGTTATATTCGGCCGAGAAATGGGTATAAATTCGTGCGACAGGCATACAAGATAAATCAAATCAACTATGCTGAAAATGTCTACACCTCGAGTTTAACTTCTCGCTCGCAAAATTACAATTAATTAGTGCCTTGTAGTTTACTTCTCGCACATTTTCTTCTCCAACTTATCATTTCAACGCAACTCACTTTTTGTTTCGGGCAGTTAAATCCCAACCAGGTTTGAATCTCCAAAGACTTATGAATTTTACAGACAAGCATAGCAACTGCTATGTTCCAATCACTTTGCAAGGTTTTAGAACAAAACTGTTTAAATTCGTTTCGTGTTTCCCTTTCAACAGGTTTTTCTGGTTTTCTGACGTTCTGTGTGTACCTTCCATACATGCAGTTTAAGATTTCAAGAGTTTTCTCAAGGTCAGCTACAATTCTGTGTCTGTTTGTTTTGTTTGGTTTGGTTTCCATTTCCGTAGCCCTCCCATTTTTCATTTCATGTAAATTCACTGTAAATTCTTTACATTCTACGTAAGTTTCAACTTCTTCTTTTTTCTTCTGGGCCCGGTTGTTCGAAGGACAGATAACTATATCTAATGGATACTCGCTATTCAGCAGATAAGAGTTAACAAAATATACTGCACTATCCAACGGATGAAGATTTATTTTCCGGTGAAAAGCGTTAATCAAGCTTCGAACAATCGGGGCCTGACTGACATATCTACTTTACCGCTTTTATTTCAGTTGTTGGGTGCGACACAGTCAGTCAGAGCACATGCTAGTGTTGTATGTCCCACTATCCATCATGCTGCTGGTGAGAAGAAAAAGCTATGAAATGTATGCCCAATTTCGTACCCAGATCCTTTCGTGTTACCGTAACAGGAGTGTAGACCAACCAACCAACCAACCAACCCCTTGGCCGTGAAAGGTCTGGGTACAAGACTAATGTATGCCATTTCTCGGGGAGGGGTGGATCATGCACTCTGTCCCTGAGATCCCAAATCAAAATTGAGGCTCTCCTTCTTCATACGGAAAGAAATACTTTAAAACTTACAGCCAACTGTAATCTCTGTTTTATCCTAATCAGACCTTTGAATTTCTGCAGCTTTGTTCTTCTTTATAACAGATCAACTTTGGAGTTGCGGTCTACGTAATTCGAATGCTCACTCAAAAGCTCAAGAACTCCCATTCATCACAAATGAATGCTATCAAGTGAGTATGATAAAAAAAAATGTGACATGCGACTGCATAGATTCAAATTAAAAAATATATATTTTCATTCATATCCAAAACTAGTTTCCTTCGCACCCGTTTAATCGTCTTCTTTTTGTATCAATACGTGACATGTGTTTTCCAGACTGATGTCCCTCTCGTCTTCTTTTTGTATCAATAGGAAAAGCTCCAAGGCGCTGGTGGTTCTGGTATCGCTCCTGGGAGTGACCTACCTTCTTGTTTTCTATCAGCCAATGAACAATCCCTCTTATGACTATTTTGTCGCTATTGTCTATCCTTTCCAGGTACGTTTAACTTTAATGCTACACAAAAAAATGTAAGTTTGCTTTTTAGCGCCAAAAATAAACCTCCATTTGCATGGTAAGATTCAGCTGTTTGATTCAAATGACAAATATTCGATGCCGGCCAAAAACTTATCTTCCTCTCGATTCATAAAACTTTGCCAATACCCAGCCATATTAACCCCGCGCTTGGTCATTAACACAATTGTATATCAATGCAAGACAAAGGAGGCCTCTGCATTGAGTAGTTAATTGAATAGTTCATTACAGAATAAGTGCTCAGTGCTTATGAAATCATTTTTATCTTTTTCCACTTATTAGGGAATCATGGTTTGCATATTTTGTGTTTTCCTGAGTGAGGAGTTTCGTGAGGCGCTCAAACGACGCTGGATGAAATGGAGATATGGAATCCTTATAGAAACGGTAGGTTGTAATACCTCGCCTTTAATACGCATTGCGGACGTATGATTTCGGTTATAAATTTTGGGTAGCTTAACATGGGGATTAGTCATTATTTATGACATGTGGGGGGAGGGGATAGGGTGGAGGATTTTTGGGGGGGGATGACGTGGTTTTTATGGGGCAACAGAGGGAAATCTATTGAAAATAAGCTACCAATTAACTGCCAATGAAGTTGAAACAAAGGTAGTTCCTGGAACAAATTAATGAGAGAAAGTTTATTCTATACAAGGCTAAAAAGTTAGGAAAAAAATTCAAATGTTTGAACCAAACGTTTTCGGCTGTCTACCATCATCATCAACCCTGATAATGGGAAACAGCCGAAAACGTTTGGTTCAAACATTTGAATTTTTTTTCCTAATCTTTTAGCCTTGTAGAGAATATACTTTACTAAGCGAACATTATGGACACGAGAGAAAGTTTGTTTTCGTATATTTAATAGATTGTAAATGAAACTGGAGTTGCTCAAAGGTTTTTTTAATCCACTAAAAAACTCAGAATCCGTATTCTGCAAACGCGGGAAATGAAGAGGAGGCTGGCCCATCTTGTGAACCTGAAAGAACAAGAAGTACAACGAGAAAAGAGTCTTTAGTGGACGTACCTCCTAGAGCCCTTTCAGTTACATCCTTGCGAAGCCAATCAAGGTATGGAGCTTCCACTGTAGCTTCCCCATAAAATAGTGAAACCGTATTATCCTTGCTAACTAACAATTCACCATATTTTCAGTGACCAGCTTACGGATGAACAACCACGTAAGAAAAGTGCAGAGAGATCTTTATTGTCTCGCTCAAGTGATCTCACAAAATTTCGCCTTGCCAAGGTCGAGCCCGAGCCCGTGGTGCCTATAAGGATACAGTCAGCAGGTCCAAGGGACTGGTGCCCACCAACGCTTCAAGCCGTCAAGGCCTGGACAGATCCCAAGACTTATGAGGTAGGAAAGAGTCTGGAAGCTAAGGTGCCAGCGTCACGAAGCAAGGAGAAGATTCTTGTTTTTTTTACTTTATTGGTCTGCGACCTAACTTTTACTAGTATCTTAAGCTTCTGAAAACCTTATTTATATAGCCAATTACATCATACTTATATTTAAAATACTATTTTAGTAGCAAGAACATTGAAGACACTCATGACAACATATCCTTAAAATAACTCAATAGAATGTTCTGTAATACAGAGAGGGTTCTAGCACAGTTTAAAAATAGCGATGCGGTAAATAAATGTTCTAGTTGTTCCCTTGTTTTCAGTAAACTTCGTTACAGCCAGTACTTGTTGAAAAAATCAAGTTGACTGTTATCATTATCCATGAATTTACTTTACATGGGGTATTCGGAATTACTTCAGAAACTGCCCCACAAACAAGCCTTAAAAAAACATTTTTTTTTATGTGTTTACATTCGTGTTATCTGTAGAAACCTGACGAATCAGATCCGGGTCATTCAAACGAGGGTTTCTACGGAAGTGAAGTTTCCCTCAGAAGCAAGGCTTCTTTTGAACCTTCAAACCCAGCTCCAACAGAAACAAAGGAATCCGAGGAAGCTGAACAGATTGACCAACCTGACGATGCTACACAGGGTGACCCAACAAAAGTTTCAGCGCCACAGCAATCAGAAGACCAGTTTTTCGTAACTTTGAGTCAGGAATTCGATAATGACTCTCTAGCCTCGATGACCCCACCAGAAATGGAGCCTGGCCCGGAGAATCAAACGCTGACAGCCACAGCAGGCGCAAGCGTCTCTCAAGATGGTCCACCGTCAACAAGCAAAGAAGAATCAAATGATTGTGTTCAAGAAATGACTTTTTGGAATAAAGCACGACAACTGGCTTCTGGAAGAAGGAGATCGCGGATTGAACATAACAGAGTGACATCTACAGAGAGTGGTAAGATAAGCCTTTCTTAGAGGAGAAGGGGTTTATTTTGCAGCCTGCACGACGAGTGTATATTTTTATGCATATTTAGGAAGCGAACGCGGGAATCACAGGCGGGAATCACACGCAGCCCCTCGCACGTCACTTGCCCTGTGCACCTTCCCACTCATCTCGATTCTTTTGTAAACGACACCATCCTCACCCTGATCATTTGTTGCTGTCCGTCACTACAATCTTACCAGCTATGATCGATATAGGATTTTCCTGATGGTTTGAAAAAGAAGTAGTACTGATTCACGGGGCACAGTAATGAAATTTCCAGTTTGTTATTCGAAGCGTCAGCTAAATTCAAAATGGCTTAAAAGGGCTATCCTTCAATCTACTGAAGGTCTATGCATTTTGAAATTCAGCTGCCTGGCCTACTTGGCCTGGCGTATTAAAAACGGATCAATAACTCGACTGGTAAATAACGTATTACTAATTTTGAATAAATTTTTCTCAGGTACGTTTGAGTTCCATTCATCGCACGCGGATAGATTTAAACAAGCTGAGGAATACCGCTTAGCGTGGATCTCAAATATTCTTCAAGGGAATAAAACACGCGGTATGTTCTAAACGTAAGGAAAGAGATAACCTTACGGTCAGCGTGCTCGACTCCAGGTACAGAGGTCTGGGCTCGAGACCTGGCTATTTCAATGTGTTTTCCTATTGGACAGGACTCCTCGCCTTCACAGTACCCCTCTCGGGCATTCTTAGTCACTGCATGTTACGGAGACCGGAATGATCTCCGTTAGTATTGGCCACTGGAAGGGTCCTCACTTGTGTGACGGCTTTTACGGCTACCGGTTGAAACAGCAATTATTTACGGCTAACATATTTCCACTGTTGTCATCACAAATGTTTTTTACAGTTAACTTTTTTTTTTAGACTTTCCACTTGGCTCAAGTACTTTTGTTATATCCAATATCCAACCCTAACTCACAGCCGGTGTTAGGTCAGCTGAGAATTAGGTTACTCCACATCACGATCAAGGGCATGCCCCAATGAAAATCAATACCGGCTTCTGAGCCCTGTAGTGTAGAGTTGGCGTATGCAAGCTTGGGGTCACTCACTGAGCTGTTATGTTTGATCTTTGGTTAGAGGATATTGAGTGGGGATAGGCGCAACAAGCGTTTTTGTCATGCACCTAGCAGGGTATAAGAATCCTTAAAAAACATAAAGAAGGAAATTAACTCTCACCTCTAAATGCAATACACCTCTTGATAAATGAGACAGAAGAGTCTGCTGTTATGTCAAGATAACAGCTTCAACCTGATAAGCTTGTTTGGTCTCCTAACCTGTTTGCAAGTTAACATATTGCAATTAAAAGAGGGAGCTACAGTTAGTCCCTAGTAGAAGTTGAAGGGAAAAAGAGAAAAGAGGTAGAGCTTTTTTATTGCCATTTGAGGGAAACAAAATTTGTCGCCAATCGGCTGAAAATGTATTGGTATAATCTTTGGAAAATGTTACCGCTGAACGTTTTTGTTTTATTCAAAGGGACATCAATGTACACTACAAGAGTATCTCGAGAGTATCCCTAGGATATTCCATAGGGGTACTCCTTATGCGGTTCCTCCTTTACCATGTGTACCTTGACACAGAAAGGCTTGAGACATGAAAATTGTATGATCGATAAAAAAAAAGTCTATTTTCTAAACACTTCAACATGTAATTGTTATTTTCTATTAATCTTCCAGAGGATGAAAGTGATGTTTAAGCGTTATGTGCAAGAAACCACCCTCCTTTGATTAAAGCGTGATAGCGTGGCAGCGTAACAGTGTAACAGTGTGACAGTATCACGAAGCAAGAGTGTTTAAGCGTGCTACAAAATGGATTCGTTCCATTCTCGGAACGGAAATCCTCTGAAGGAGTTTAGGACCTTCGTTTTCTAATCAGACACATCGAAAAATCTGTATACACGAGTAATGAACGAAAATAATTATTAATCATCTGTCAATTTTAACAAAGCGTTATTTAATTCTCCCTGTTTTATCAGTCAAATTGTTGTCTTACATTTAGAGCTGAAGGTATCCATTTTTAATACAATTGCACTGTTTTTCTCAAGAGTTTGGAGTCACTGTGTTTCGCACAGGAGTGTTTGTGTGAATTGTTATGCTGTGACATGAGGAAACATAGAAAATGCTTTGGAATATTATAACGGCTTTTGATTGAGTGTCGAAAGTATTACAGTACTGCATTGGCTTTCCTTCACTTCACTTCAATTTGTGATTGTTTAAAAAAAAAATCGCACCACCCTCCTAACCAATCAGATGATGCTATATTAAATCAAGTGGGAGTCTGTTACGTGCTTTTTCCCGCTCTTGACACCAAGCGCGTGGACGTCACTTTGGCTTACAAAATCACGGCACTCATTCAAATGTCGCTCTATGAAATCAGATTGAATATATTAAAAGTAAGAGAGCAATACTCCTAGAAGCTTTATGCTCTGCAATTTTTGTTGTGGGAGAAATGTGTGTCTTACATACAATCAAAAGAGTTCAAAATTATAATGGCACCCCGAAGGTAGATATCTATATACAGTAAATAAAGAAATATATCACAAACGTCAATGCTTCTCTGCTCGATTCTGCGTTTACGACAAAACATGCTACCGTGTTGAAAAAATTCGGAATTCAGATACAATGAAATATATGAAGTTCATATATTTTGAACTGCGGTATTAGATACATATGATACACGATCCTTGTAGTAGATAGCGCTATTTAAGCAATAGCGAAAATCAGACCTGAAAAAAATCAGGCCTGTACGGGATTCGAACCACTGACCTCTGCGATACTAGTGCAGCGCTCTACCAATTGAGCTAACAAGCCAACTGGGAGCAGGCCGTTAAGTTGATTCGTAATAAACCCGTGAAAGTGATAAATCAGATACAATGAAATATATGAAGTTCATATATTTTGAACTGCGGTATTAGATACTAGTGCAGCGCTCTACCAATTGAGCTTGTTAGCTCAATTGGTAGAGCGCTGCACTAGTATCGCAGAGGTCAGTGGTTCGAATCCCGTACAGGCCTGATTTTTTTCAGGTCTGATTTTCGCTATTGCTTAAATAGCGCTATCTACTGCGAGGATCGT